GTGACAGTGACGTGGGCGCCGGTTCAAGTCGGACAAAATTTCTAACCGGCATGCACTGCTTCAAGTCAGCCGGCGATCGGTTTGTGCGGCGCCGCATGAAGTCGAACGCACCTATTGATGTAGAATCGTTGGGTGGGGCTAAACAGACAGTGATGTAGAAGCAGGCGTTGATGATCTGTGGAGGCGGTGCTTATCCACACTATTACATTATAGAGTCGTACATTCCACAAGCTGTTGTTTGGCACACTGCTTTCAATAAAGCTGTTTTTAGACTAACGATAAAGTTGAGTTCTGAAACTTACAGGATGTTTTTATAGTACAATGACCTCTTATCTGTCAAAAGATCAAGGGAATTTTGGTTTCTCAGTTCATGACCCCTTTAAAAATTAGCTTTAAAACCTTTAACAAAGTACCAAAAGAAACAAACATGCCCCATCAATCTTAACCTGAGGAGCGCACCCTTACCAAATCCCACGCTCTCTGCTCAAATAAAGGCTCAAAGAAGCCCAGATCAGATCTGACAGACAATATCAAGCCCTGAGTGAACCCATGAGAAAGAGCGGATGCTGGACAGCGCTGATGAGCACACCAGAGAGTGTGCGGCCCTTTCACATGCTAATGACCGCAGATGATTGTCCTCTGAAGCTTCTCCAGGACGACACACAATAGAGACGATGCGCTCATGAATACACTCACTAATGAAACACACATCCGAGTCAGAGCACAACACACACACACACACACACTAAACATGCACATACTAAACACGGCTGCTGCCAGCGAGCTGCTGAAGCAGTGAGGATCTGCGGGGGGGGGGGGTATGTATAGAGTACGCCAAGCGTTATCCAAGGCCATCAGGGCTGATCATGAGACCCTGCTGTGGCGTGACTGATCCATCCTGCTGCAGACGGAGCCAGAGAATCAAACAAACACACGGCGCTTTCATGCAACGACTGGCTGCTCAGATCTAAATAAAGGCTGGAGGGAGGACAGGAACAGGCCATCACATGCATTCAGATATCACACACACTATTATGGTGGGGTCTTTTCACTGGATTCTTGAGTTTTTATTACGGAGCTTAGGGGATAGTTTCTGTCCCCTAAACAAACCTTTCTGTATTTAGACACTTTCGTCAAAACATTTAACATGCCAAGCAAATAAGCAAAAAACTCCTACCTTAACGAAGGCAACCCAGCTCTTATGGCAGTATATGAGGTATCCACCCAAACTAGACGGTAACTGGCTTCTGTCGATGTAGTTGGAAAGCTCAAAAACCTCTTTGAGGAAGACGCGCTGTCCACATAAAAGAAAACCGACATTAGAGCTCAACGTTAAAACCAACCGCTTCAATGCAGGAAGAAATACAGCTTTGGAAATCAGTGATAGGGAATTGATTTAATTCGATTGAGATTAACAAGTTCAATTGTAAGTTAACATGTACACAATTTATTCTGTAATATTTCAGGATATGGGGACATTTTCAACATGGTAGAAAAATAAATAAATAAATAAAAGCTGTAAACCAGCGGTTCTCAATGGGACAACAGGATAATCAAATTATTAAAATACTCCAATTTGATTTCAATTTAAATTATTAACGTTAAATTAAATTTCAAAAGGCAATCTAAATGTACACATTTAATAAAATAAAATATAAATTCATAATAAATTAAGATAATGAACATTATAAATGTATATAATAAAAAATAAAATAAAAGGCAATCTAAATGTACACATTTAATAAAATAAAATATAAATTCATAATAAATTAAGATAATGAACATTATAAATGTATATAATAAAAAAAAAATAAAAAAAAAGAACAATAATAAAGATTAAGATGTTAAATGCAAACACTTGTTTTTATCCCCCTCAGTTACTAGTTTTTATTGAAGAGAACAGTTCATATGTTATGGTCCATGAGGTTTTGAATTGTTGTGTTGGACAACAGGCGGCCATTGTGTTAAACACTTCTGTAAACTACAGCAAACCCTTTCATTTAATATAACACCAGCTCAAACCATTAGTCAACAGCTATTTATTATATTCACATAAGCATTTAAAAACTGCATTGTATAGTAACATTTAAACTACATAATTAGGTTTCACGAAACCACATAACTCACAATAAATGAACTCTAAACATTAAGGAAAATAAGTGGCTTTGACCGAGAAATCACATCTTTCTCATTTCAGTCTCAATGTATAATCGTTTTAATGGTGGCTGTCATATCTCATGCTCACGACGGATTTATTCAGATATACTCCTCTCTAAAGTACTTTTCTAGCCAACTAACAGCTTATGAGCACTGACACGAGCCGAAACCCTGATCGTCTGATTACATGAGGCACGATTCATTCCAGTAAGCTGTTCGGTTTCTTTAAACACCGCCTGATGTTCATTCATGTTTTTGTGGTTTTTTTGGTGATTCTCGTTATTCAAACTCAGTCAAAAGTTCACAAAGGTGGGGGAAACCCTATATTTTGCCCATTGGGACAGAGCAGAGGTGTGGAATATGCGGAAGTGAAGGTCTCTTCATTCAGATGTGTTACTCACTTTGAAGAGGACGGGTCTGTGCTGCTTGGAGCCACTCGGTGTCAGGAGTTTCCCCAGCTGCTTCAGGACATCTTTCTTCTTTGGTTGAACAATATACACAGAGTGGATGATCCTTCTGGAAACCTACACAACACAGGACAGTACAGCAGACGCTGTGTAGGCTCAGGGAAGCTCAGTGACTCAGTAATGCAGGGATGTGAGATTTCTTTGTCCATGTTAAGGACAAGGGCTGCCCACTCGCCTCCATTATTAGATAAGAGCAGACATGTGACGACAGCAGGCATGTGATCCTCAGCTCTTGGCCTGCGCAGTCTCAAGATCTCAGCCTCGTCGCAAGCGCAAAACTAGAGCTTCACAAGACCATCACAAACGCAGAGGAAGAGCTCACCCAAAAATCCAGCATGAAATAAAACGGGCATCTATAAATCGCCATGCATCAAAGCAGATAGAAACAATTTCCACTGCCAATCTCCTAAACAAAGCCCATCTGATTTAAACCGAAATAAAGTTAGCTAAACAGCTATAGCTCCAACAACTCATTTGCTCGCATGTTAAATTTTGGCACATGAAGCTGCATCACGCCAGGTTTGACGTCAATGATGGAAACAGCATTCACTGATCTTGCCCTGTGCCAGAGCTCACAAGACCCATTCACAGTCCTGTTTTGAAACCAATTATACCATCATCACAGTCCCATGACAGACAACTGATAGTTCAGCCCTGCTGGTAGATTCAGTAACCTCACAACTCCGTTACAAAAAGCCCCTTTCTTCAATTGATGGCCATTCAACAAGTCTGAATTGAAAATCTTTTGCAAGCAACATTTAAATATTTCATTATAATAGATGTTTTCTTGTCTGATATTTTGTGGAAGCTCTTAAAAGGGTGAGAGATTTTAAAGTGTTCCTTCTAGGGATGTCACAATTCTCAATATAATATCGAACCGTTCGGTACAACATCCACGGTTCAATACGCGCTCGTGAACTACAGTTTTTTGTTTTGAGTTTAAATAATATCTGTGTTTTATTACACTCAGAAATGGCTGTGTGTGTGTGTGTGTGTGTGTGTGTCCGTGAGTTCACGTGCTGAGATGAGGAAACACCTCCCAGCTTATATTTGAAAAAGCAACATACGCAGAGCATCTTCTCTTGTAATGACATGCAATGAGAAGCCTTTCTAAACCCGTTGTTCAACAAAAGAGAACATTATAAATTGTTTTTACTTCACAACATCAGTCGAGTACTGATTAAATGTAAGAATTGTGATCTGATGTGGCTTCCTATCCAAGAATGAGGCAGAAAATATATGCTATACTGTAATAAAGGCTATGTCGATTAGAAATGGCTTACAAATATACTTAATCATTATGAAAACACCCGAGATGGCTTGAAGAACACAGATAAATCACATATTGCTGCAGGCAAGTGTTTATTGTCCTTACATTTTATCATTCAAAACGTTTAACGTTATATCTTCTTTTTATTCAGTTACAGCCACAGTGATGCCTTTATCCATATTAGGGATTTCCTGGAACGTCATCAGTTCTATTACTTCTGTGATGCATATGTGGAGGGCGCCCTCTGGTGTCCAGTATGAATGAAACATTACATGCGTTTATAGCACTCAATAATGGCCAATCCATCCGATTTTAGGTAAAAATCTGAAAAATAATACCTCTCTCATAAGAAAAAATACTCTGATGTGCCAAGCTATCAGAACAGAACACCGTGGTTAAAAACCGAGGTATGTATTGAACTGTGGACTAACTGTATTGTTGCATCCCTAGTTTCTTCAGAGTTTATCTGCAAACACCAAACCAAAATATCTGAGAAACTGAGCCAAAGTCTTCAGGGTTGCTTGAATATTACGGGCAGGAGTGAAGGAGCTGATCTGCACCGCACAGTCGGTGCTCTAGAGTCAGTCACATGAAACTTACAGGACATGTGATTGGCTTAAATTGTTCCTGAAAAGCAAAGATGGCAGCAAGCAGGGGTAAAACAGCCCAACCGAGTAAACGCCACTGACATAAACTGTTTGTTTAGTTAAACAAGCTCAAGTGAGGTTGGACTATTTTTTGCAGCTTGACTTTCACCGTCTAGAAAACACTCCGCATCCATTCTGGCTAGGGGTGGGAGATATACCGTGGTTACATGCTCACGTGACATTTCTATGCTACGTTGTCACGAAAACCTGTCATTTGCATGCGTTTCAGCATTGCATTTTAAAAAAAGTGATTTTAAGCCGTTGAAACGCAAGCAGCGAAACCGAAACAGAACTCATTTTGCTATATGCGCGCGCTGTCTGAGACGGTTTCTGAGCGCTGTCATTAGAGAGGCGCTCGCACGTGAAGACACTTGTAAACACCGTCATTTAGGTCTTAAGTGAACGCAGCAAACAGCGGAGAAAGAAAACACGCGTGTAACAGTATACTGGATCCGGGCAGCTCTTAAAGTGACAGCAGTCTAATATTCCAGCTGTCTGTCATTCATGTTAATCAAACAACAGAGAAAATCTCTCACTGCTGTTGACTAAATATATATATATATATATATTTATTTGATTTACACAGTGAAAAATATGCAGTGTTTTCATAGATTTGATAACTTTATACATTGTAGCATTTATTTGTTCTACTGTAGTTTTTTTGTCTTATTGCTTATAATTAGTTTCTTTTTCTTATTTAGGGAGCTTGTTTTTTTTTAAAATTTAGGCTAGTTTTAGTTTGTGATATTGACACTGGTGACAAGAGTTATGAAACTACTATGGTATCAAAAGTCGATATCAAAGACCTTATTTAAACAAAATTAACTATATTGTGATATAGAATAGTTACTGTAAAATAAAATTACTCTTATTATATACGATTTTGGTCATATTGGCCACCCATAATTCTGGCTAACAGCTTCATACACAACCATAACGGAGTTTGATGAACAAATACATTTTTATTTTTGAGAGAAATCTGGAAAATGGTAATTAAAGAATAAATGTGCCAATTTTCAGACAGCTTTGTATTGCTACGGCAGCACATCTAAATGAACCAAGTATTCAGTATTACCAGCACCCAAACAAACAAGTTTATTGGTCAACAAAATTCTGCAGAATGACAAAAAGCATCGTTTTTGTTGATTGGCTTTTGACAGCTACAGGGCTTTTGTTAAAACTCCAGATGGAAACTCTGCATTATTGTATCAGTCAGACTGAATCGATGCACTAAGGGTGCTTAAGTTTATCAGAAGGGAACGCCACAGACCTTTTCTCTACCATACCCTGATCAGTGAGAGACGCAGCTGCAGGTTTGGACTGAAGTGCACTGTATGAAGTCTCTGAAGGACAGCATGATACGTGACATTATCACCAACCACTCCATTTAATTTTCTTAGAGCTGTTCTGTGTCACCAAAGAACGATCAAGGCTTGGTACAAGGACGATATCTAGAGCTATAAACACAATGTGTGCCTCAGTCACACGAAGAGGGAATAAACGTGAACACGCTACTCCTTTCAGCACACATCTAGTGTCAACCACGGCAAACTGTTGGATTAATAGTGTAGTACACTAATGCTTCGAGCTGATTAAGCCACAAAACATTAACCAGGTCATCGCCTCCTGCACAAATATAGAAACCAAATGATACTTATAGAAAAGCCAGAATGACACTACACGAGACAGAATAATAACGCAATGAATACCTCCAACAACAGGAGAGTTTCAGCGATGAAGCGTGCGATGGCGAGGTTGGCTTGCCTCAAATCAACAACCACAGACAGCAGGCTCTCCTCGCCTCTTATGCTGCCAACAGAAAAACACAGGACAGAGGTGAGGAAAACACCAAACACACACAACATCAATCAGGCAAAAAGACATGACCTGATTCTGTGAAACACAACAGAACTGGCAGAAAGTCCAAGCTGCTCCATTTCAGACAACAGTGATCAAGGGATGTCAAGAGTTTGATTAAAGCAACACACAAGCACCAGAGGCCCGTAATCATAACTCGTGTGTTAGATGTTATCACATCTAAAGGGACAGTTCGACTAAAAGTTAAGATTCTGTCTGTTCTAAACCGGTTTCATAGAAAAAACTAAAGTTAGAGCCTACATAAGATATTTTAAAGGATTTGGGTTCATCTGTTTTTCGTGACTATTGACTTCCATTATGTGGAATAAAAATAAAAAAACACTGAAAACGTCAAGATATTTTTACATAGAAAAAAGTCATACAGGTTGGAAGAGCATGAGGGTGATGACCGAACGATCATTTTTTCTGTGAACTATCCCTTTAAGACTTTACAAAAATAAAAAATAAAATAATTGTCCTCAGTGTTAAAGGAATAGTTCACCCAAAAATTAAAACGTCCTCACCCTCTGATCATCCCAGATGTAGAAGTTTGTTTCTTCATCAGGTTTGTAGAAATGTAGCACTGCATCAGTGTCTCAGCAATGGATGCTCTGCAGTGAATGGGTGCCGTCAGAATGAGAGTCCAAACAGCTGATAAAAACATCACAATAATCCACAAGTAATCCACAGCACTCCAGTCCATCAGTTAACATCTGGAGAAGACAAAAACTGAAACTAATCCAGCATTAAGACGTTTTTAACTCAAATACCATAGAGTCCATAATCCATAATAACTCTTCCTCCAGTGAAAATTTTATCAGCTGTTTGGATTCACTGCAGAAGATTGATTTGTGAGCAAGTGATGTAATGCCAAATTCATTCCCATTAATAAATAAACTCATCTACTTGGTCCTACACAAAGCTGCATTAATAAAAAAAATTAAAAACCGGTTCGATGTTTATGACGCTAAAAACTATTGATACTTGCGCATGTTGTAAACTATTGTAGAGTGCTAATGGGACAAACAGACTTGCTATTTACATGCCTGGTGTCCTTTAGGGAGCTCGGCAGCATGAATCGGCACCATTATATGGAAAAGAGCAGCTTGCAGATTCTTCAAGACTTCTGTTTTCTTACTCCACACGTTTAGACTGAGTGAAAGCGGAGTGTGTCGTACTTGTGCAGGCGCAGACAGTAGTGTATGAAGTGGGACACCTCCTCTCTGCTGAGCTCCTCTGGGAGTTTACCCTGAGCCTCCGCTGGAAACACCACCAGAGGACAGCCGTGCTGGTCAAAGGCACCTGCGGACACAGAGCTCCATCAGAGCGAGCACACAGACACACAGCGAGTGACCGCAGCGGCTCTTACCGGGGAATATGACCGCTCCGGAGCGCAGCAGGTGATCTGAGGGCAGGGCTGCAGGGGCCAGGAGCTCTGAAACAACACACAGCCTCTAGCTGCATCTCTATACACCAGCATTACAGTCACATTGCGTCACAAATCAGCACGTTTACACCACTGAATAAAAAAATAACGGTAATCGAGAGTTTACATCGCACAACTCTGACTTTTTTCGTCTATAAATCCTCTATATTCTTAGAATTACGAGAAATAAATTCAGAATTGCGAGATATAAACTCACAATTTGGACATTTTCCTCAGAATTGCGAGATATACTCGCAATTGCAAGTTATAAAGTCCATTTCTGAGGAGAAAAAAGACTGACATGTTCTCAGAATTGCGAGTTTAGATATCACAATTGTGACTTTATTTCAATTCAATTCAAGTTTACCTGTATAGCGCGTTTCACAATGCAAATAGTCGCAAAGCAGATTTACAGAAAATTAAAGTTTCTAGATTATATTAAGTAATAGCTTATTAGTGGTGACTATCTCAAGTTGATGTCCATATGGCAGAAATGTACGGTAAAATTTTGTAGTTTATTACGGTTTATTTTTCGCAATTTTGACTTTATAACTCACAATTGTCAAGTCAAGGCACCTTTATTTATATAGCGTTTTTGACAATACAGATTGTGTCCAAGCAGCTTTACAGTATCAAGCAGGAAAATAGCGTCAATAATGCAAAAGGACAATAGTAAACACCCAATTGTCAGTTATTGTGAGTTTATATCACGCAGTTCCTACATCATTTCTCAGAAACGCGAGTTTATATCACACAAAAGTCAGAATTGCGAGATGTAAAGTCGCGAGGACCGTTTCTATTTTGTATTGAGTGGCGGGCTTCCACTCAGCAGAGTCCCAACTGTCGCTTACCTGCGCCGTTCATCTTCACCGGAGCTTCACGGGCTCTCATCTGACGCCGGTGCTGCCATAAGAACTCCTCGGGGAAACTTTATAAGAAACTTGCTCTACAGCGGGATCGAGAGACGGTAAGAACCGGTGTAAGCGCTAGAGTTTCCGCCATGTTGAGCCCATTCCGCGCGCTTCACACGGAGCCTCGCCGCCGCTGACGGCGGAGCTCATTTATAATGCACAGCCGGTGGGCGGGGCCACAACAAACGCCCCGCCCACAAACACATCCACGCCAAACTTTCTCATCATCAAAACAGTTCTCAACAGGAAAAGCATGTTCAGCCTATTCGGTTTATTTACAACTGAGTTTAAATGAATAGAACTGATCTATACATTTTCAACTTCGCTGATCTTACGTACAGTTTGGGCAGCTAATTAGCAAGTCAAAGTTATACAAACCAATCCTTCTGTAATAACTTTAGTTGAGAACTGATGATGCAGGCTGACATTTCTGTCCTAGTGCTGAAAAACTCACAATCATCATCCTGATCATTTAATCATCCCCAGACCAAAAAAAGAGTCAGAAATCAGAAGTCAGGTATGTTTAACACACAAGGAATTTGTCTTGATGACAGGAGCTTCCAGTGCAGAAGAAAGTACAGACATAGTGCAGACATACACCGTAGAGATGGAATATAACACTAATATAAGAAAAACAGAAAATTACATAATGCACTACATACAGGGGCAGAAATAGAGAGAGAAACGTGTAATTGTTTAAATCAGGGGTGTCAAACTCAGTTCCTGGAGGGCCACAGCCCTGCCCAGTTTAGATATAACCCTAATTAAACACATCTGATCCAGCTAATCTAATCATTTAGGCTTATTTGAAAACGACATGGTTTGTGTGTTGGAGCAGGGTTGGAACTAAACTCTGCAGGGCTGCGGCCCTCCAGGGACTGAGTTTGACACCCCTGGTTTAAATGAATGTCCAGATAAGTTATTTGCAGAAAAAGTAGCTGGTGTAGATGTCTGGCCTCTCCTCTTCAAACTAATCCTTGTTTACATTTGACCCAAATATGCTGTACATTTCCAAACAGGTGCTTCACAACCACATGATGCTGAAGGCATCAGACCGAACGGGAAAATCAGCTCTTCAGAAACACACTCAGATCCTGTTACAGAGAACACACGCGTGTCAGAAGAAACAAGAGTGTTTCACGCCGCAGCATACTTAAGCTGGTGATTTTTTATTGTTTTTGTATCAATATGAAACATAACTGTTATTATTCAATCACAATTTATTATGGCGTGTCTAATCAATCTATTGCACTCGTTCTTAAATTTTTGATCAGTTCACTACTTCAACAAAGACTGCTGATCAAACACGTGCATTTGTATTTTTATATGTAATTGAAATGAAAAAAAAAGCAACTGCGTAAATTCTTCATTTGAATAAAGAATAGGTCAAAGTTAAAACTAGATTGAGAATACTGTATTAAATGTATTTGTTTACCTGTGTGACTATTTTTGTCTTTAAAAGTAAAATCAGATGCTGAAATGACTAAATACCCAGCCATTATTATGCAATAAATCTAAATGAATATGAATCAAATACACAGCTACAAAATATAACTGTAGATACTCTAAGGGTAACTTTGCTAAGATTTCACTTAGAAATAAAATTAGGAATATAAATATAATTTACAAATATTTGGCTGCACCACCTGACATTTTATAGTTTTTTTTGGTGGTAAAGTTAAAAAACTGAATTTAAACACTTTGAAATGTTATTTAAGAAATGTAACTTGTTTAAACACATGGTTCCCAACTCAAAAATATGCATAACATTCATTTGGAAAGATTTTCAAAAACAAAAATCTTTTAGAAGCTTTATTTGTCATTGGCCCTAGTACATAAATATAGTTATTTCAGACTTTTACTTCACTTTTTAACCCAAAAAACACATGTGACCCTGGAGCACAAAAGCAGTGTTAAGTCGCTGGGGTATATTTGTAGCAATAACCAACAATACACTGTATGGGTCAAAATTATACATTTTTCTTTTATGACAAAAATCATTAGGATATTAAGTAAAGATCATGTTCCATGAAGATATTTAGTAAATTTCCTACCGTAAATATATCAAAACTTAATTTTTGATTAGTGATATGCATTGCTAAGAACTTCATTTGAACAACTTTAAAGATGATTTTCTCTATATTTAGATTTTTTTGCACCCTCAGATTCCAGATTTTCAAATAGTTGTATCTCAGCCAAATATTGTCCTATCCTAACAAACCATACATCAATGGAAAGCTTATTTATTCAGCTTTCAGATGTATGTTTAAAACAACTGACCCTTATGACTGGTTTTGTGGTCCGGGGTCACATATTGCTGGTTCATGCTGCATTAACTAATGTTAACAGATCCTATTGTAAAGCGTTACCACTTATTTAAAAGGTAGTTTTTTTTCTTCTTAATATTTTAAGCCTAAAACATCATTTGTGGTGAAAATTACATCATGACTGTTTATGAAAAATAAACAAATTGTCCTGTAATGTATCTACACATACTGAATTTTGAGAATTGTTAGTAGACTAATTAAACTAGTAAGAGTGGCAAAAATGCCCATAGCTAAATAAAAAATACATCATTCAGACAGTAATCTTATTATTTATGGCCATTGGACAACCCCATTGGAGCCGTTCACTAACGCAGTTAAAATACGAAAGAAACGAATTTATTTTCGAAATTCGTTCGAAACCAATTTTAACTTTACACGACCTCTTTAAAAAACGCAACGCTCCTGTCGCGAATAAACAGTGACGCGACGCAGCGGCCTGACGCATGCGCACAAAGACCAACCTGAAACTGCAGCAGAGCGCTAGCGGACAGCAGTTATCCGCTCACTCGTGTCTCGTGCAAGTGTGAAGCACAACAGCTAGGGCTGCTCGATAACGACATTTCTGGAATCGATTCCTCACTGTTGTTTTCGATTCTTGTTTTTTTTTTTTTTTAGATTGAAGGAATCTATAATCTCACCATGCCTGCAGGATAAAGTTGGTAGAAAGTATCCTTCTCATAAAACAAAAAACAAAAAAAATGACGATGCATAAATTGTAATTTTGTCTGCTTTGCCCGTGAAATTAGTCATAGCCCACAGCTCAGCAGGGACAGGCGTTTATGGCATGAATTGAACATGACATGAAGTGTCTAAAATAAATGTGCACAGTTCAGCTGAATGATGAAGTTTACTTTGACTGTATGCTTTGCACAAAATTAACAAACTGTACACTGAAACAAAATAACCAGAACATTAACAATAACTGACAGAGCTCGTGGTTTATCTGTCAAAGAAGGCTGCATGCTAAGATTCAGATGATCTCAGTACCGACTCGTTCTTTCAGTTTATTTTCGTGAATTTAAATGTGTGCAGCCGTCCGTTTGAGAGACACCCATAGATAAGCTTTGTTGAACTGAACAGGGCTCTGAAGGAGGAGTCCATTCCCCTTGATGGAATCGATTCCCAGCCCTAACAACAGCCGGCGTGTGAAGAGCACTTGCAGGGCTGATGAAGAGCTCGGGGTTGACCGCGCGGTGGTTCTGACGCCGAGGAGCCCGGGGCCCCTGGAGGCCGAGTCCGCTGCTGCTGCTGCTGTCACAAACACGCGTTCTTCTGACCTACAGGACGACAGACAGAAATCACACGCCCTCTGCTGCTCGGCGCAGTTCTTCTTTCGCTTTAGCGGCGGGTGGCAAACAAACTTACAGTGCATTTCCTCCACCTGCTGAGATGAGTGTGCAGCATCCATGAGGAGAGTAATATACAGTGCCTTGCAATTCTCATTTTTTTCACATTTTGTTATGTTGCTGCCTTATGTTAAACTGCATTAAATTACTTCCCCCCCCCATATCAATCTACACTCCATACTGACAAAGCAAAAAACAGGTTTTTAACATCTTTGCAAAATTATTGAAAATAAAAAACTTAAATGATTCCATTGCATAAGGAAGCATGTAGTCTTTAGAAGAAGTTTGAAACAACCAGGACTCTTCCTAGAGCTGGCCTCCTGGACAAACTGAGCAACTGATGGAGAAGGGCTTTGGTTAGAGTGGTGACCAAGAAGCTGATGGTCACTCTAGTTGAGCTCCATGATCATATACGCAGATGGGAGAAATCTACAGAAGGGCAAACACACTGCAACCCTCCACCGATCTGGGCTTTATGGCGGTGTGGCCAAACTCAATCCTCTCCTCAGTGAAGACACAAAAAACCCACTTGAAAAAAAAAAGCACAAAGGATCCTCAGACTGTGAGAAATAATATTCTCTGGTCTGATGAATCTCAATTCTAAGCATCATGTTTGAAGGAAAGCAGCTCTGCTCATCACCTGCAGAGTACCATCCCAAAAGTAAAGTGTGCTGGTAGCAGCCTCATGCTGTGGGGCTGTTTTTCAGCGGCAGGGTCTGAGATTCGTCAGAGTAGAAGACAAGCTCAATGCATTAAAATATTGAGATAGCCTTAATGAAAACCCAGTCCAGAGCATTCAGAACCTCAGACTGGGCAGAAGGTTCACCTTCCAGCAGGACAACGACCCTAAGCACACAGCAAGAGTGGCCTATAGACAACTCTGTGAATGTCCTTGAGTGGCCCAGCCACAGCCTGAGCTTGAACCCAATCAAATATTTCTGGAGAAACCTGAAAATGTGCATCTGTTCCCATCCAACCTGACAGAGCCTGAGAGCTGAAGAGGTGAGGAGAAGAATGGCAGATCATTTTCAAATGCTATTGAGCAAAGCTTGTCGCATCAAACAAAAAAGACTTGAGGCTGTAAAGGTGCTTCAGCTAAATATTTAGTTAAGGGTATGAATACTTATGCAATGTACTTATTTCAGTTTTTTATTTTTAATCAGTTTACGAAGTTGCGACAATTCTGTTTTTGCTTTGTCAATTTGGTGTATGGAGGGTAGATTGATGTAGAAAAAAAAAGTAATTTAAAGCAGTTTAACATAAGGCAGCAACATAACAAAATGTGAAAAAAATGAAGGGGTATGAATACTTTCGCAAGGCACTGTAGCTAATAAATAAGAAAATTAATTCTTTTAATTAAATTTGTGACCTTTATAAATTCTAATAATATCTTGAAAACTTGATACATTTCTTAAATTCTGAAACCACTTACACCTATTGACTTGATTTGATTTTCTAGTTTTTTTTTTTTTAAGTGAAAAAGCAATGGATGAAAGTGAAAAAAGTGTTCTGGTGTGAATCAGGAGAGAAATCGGCACAAATCAAGCAGTGTTTAAACCAAACTCATCCTAATCTCGGATGACCTGAGGATGAGCACATTTTCATTCTGGAATGAACTATTTAACATCATATAGTCTGGTGGACTTAAGACGTCCGTCTCTGCTTGTAATAAGACACCCTCATTGGTTCAGTTTATATTTAAATGCATTAATTTTATTGATTCTTCTTTTTTTTACAGCAGTACTTTGTACCTCACACTTCAAATGATGGAGTTATGCATCCTGCTCATCTCTATATTTATTAGTCCCTCATACAAACAAAACTGATGAAAGAGCTTCTATGATTAAAGCCTCAGTAGACTGGATTATTATATCTGGTGTGTTTCTGTCACTGTTTTTATACCTTGAGTCTATTGTTTATTTATTACCAGAAACTGGCCATTTTGTGCTGCGGTGTTTTCATTAATATCTATGGGGTTTCTTCTTTTTCTTATCGTTTGTTTGTCTGCCTGTAACTTGATGAACTGATAATTGTATTTCCTTTGTAGAGAGCCAGCACATCTCACGAGGTGTGTGCTAAATAAATCTGAACATAAATGAATGATGCACATGAAAGTGCCTCTATAGACAGCTGCTTAAACACCTCTTAATCATTAATAATAAGACCAGTAACACTAATTAAGAGCATAAACATACTTTTAACACCTGCAGCAATCACAAATGAAGGCGTTTGACAGCAGACTGTGGTTTTCTCTGCTGGTAACACTATCAGTGCTGCTGAGCTCATCAGTAATTCATGCACACGCACAAACAGCCTGCGGTTTCTCATTAAAACTGCATGCGTAACCTATTGGGTTACACACATCTACAGGTTTACTTTATATGTCTGCAGTAGCCCTCATTAATCTGCATCAGTGCTAGCTGTGAAAGACAAACCCACAGCACTCTTCATACAAACAAACCAACGAGTCTGTCCTGCAACATTTTACACGTGAAGCAACTTGTGCTTGGCTGCCGATGGGGAAAGATGCTGTCTACCAGCTGAATGCTCTGTAACTAATAATTATTAAGCTCCAGAGACAGTGAGCGTCTGTCAAGGGCCCGAGTGGTGCGTCTGAGCCTTTCCAGTGAACTCGACCCACACGACTGTTTACACTGCTAACACTACAGGCTGTGAGGCTCACAACACCTCGTGCATTCAGCAAACACATCAGAGCAGAGCGCTTCCAGTGACACGAGAGTCCTGCCAGAGTAACCAAACAGGTGTGGCACCTACGCCAGGTGTGTTTGACTATCAAATAGCAGAGAGACGCAGCTCTCGGTGCATTTACAGTCTGGCAGCAGCAGCCGAAGACGAGCAGAGCAGAGGGAATCAGACTGCATGAAAGGTAAATACTTCACATTTATTTGCTTTTGTTCAGAGAAGTATCTCACACGAATGGATCTTCATCATCACACTTGGTGAATAAAGCTCAATCTGATTCTCAAATCTAGATTTGACAATGCTCTGAAAAGCCTCTTGATAGATTATTATGGATTGTAAGCATACCTGTCTAAAGAGTGCAAACATGACATTAATTGTCCTGCATGTTATGCTCTTAAAAATAAAGCTCCAAAGGCGGATTTGGACAGAGACGCCACAGTAGAACCATTTTGGTTCCCCAGAGAATCCTTCAGTCTTTAAAAGAACCATTTTTTCTTCTATCTGAAGCAGTGGTTCCTGGAGCCCTCAACACTGGACATTTTGCTTTAATCAAGCACTTGATTCAGGTGATCAGTTTATTTGTAGAGAATCCAAGAGCTGAAATGGGTGTTTGGTTAAGTAGACATGCATAATGTTAGTGGTTGGGAACCACTGATCTAAAGAACCTGTTGTCCAGTGAAAATGTTCCATGGATGTTAAAGGTTCTTCATGGAACCCTTTATTTTTAAAGGTATACTGTACTTCACTCTAAAATGAAAATTCTGTCATTACTCACTCTCATGTTGCTCCAAACCCACAAGACCTTCGTTCATCTTCAGACCACAAATTAAGATATTTCTGATGAAATCCGAGAGCTCTCTGACCCTCCATAGACAGCAAGGATCCTAACACGATCAAGGCTCAGAAACGTAGTTAGGACATTGTTAAAATAGTCCAGGTGATATCAGTGGTTCAACCGTAATTTTACAAAGGAGAATCTTTGAATAAAGTTATTTTTGTTTTCTTTGCGCACAAGAAGTATTCACATAGCTTCGTAATATTAGGGTTGAACCACTGATGTCACATGGACGATGTCCTTCCTACGTTTCTGGGTCTGGGAAAGTTTCTTGTTCCCTTGCTGTCTACGGAGGGTCAGAGAGCTCTCGGATTTCATCAAAACGGAGGTCTTACGGGTTTGGAACGACATGAGGGTGAGTAATTAATGACAGAATTTACATTTTTGGGTGAACTTAACTAACCCTTTAAGAGTGTACACGGTGATTTGAAGACACTGAACTCCTGGTTTCCTTCTGACTCCCGCAGCAGCCCGATGAAACATGAACTGGGGATTCCTGGAGAATGTGTTAAGCGGGGTAAACAAGTACTCGACTGTCGTCGGGCGGGTCTGGCTCTCCATCCTCTTCGTGTTTCGCATCCTGGTGTACGTCGCCGCCGCCGAGCAGGTGTGGAAGGACGAGTTCAAAGACTTCGTCTGCAACACACAGCAGCCGGGCTGCGAGCAGGTTTGCTTCGACCGCTTCTTCCCCATCTCTCAAGTGCGGTTATGGGCCATTCAGCTGATCATGGTGTCCACCCCGTCGCTGCTGGTGGCTCTGCATGTGGCTTACAGGGAGTACAGAGAGAGCAAGTACAAGAGGAAGCTGTACCAGGATAAAGGCAGCATCGACGGAGGGCTGTTCTTCACCTACATCATGAGCCTCATCCTCAAGACGTCCTTCGAGGTGGCCACTCTGCTGGCTTTCTTCTTCCTGTACAGCGGCTTCCACGTTCCCCGCTTGCTCCGGTGCGACGAGAGCCCCTGTCCCAACACGGTGGACTGCTACATCGCAAAAGCCACCGAGAAGAAAATCTTCCTTTATATCATGGGCTGTACGTCTATCCTGTGCATTGCACTGAATGTGGTGGAGATGATGTATATATCGAAGCAGTGCTGGAAGTGCTTCAGTAAGAGGTACGCTCCTGTGCATGAAAGAAGCGGCCGGCCTCCATCCACGCTCACTCTCGGCTCACCGCCGTCGCTAGCCATGTCTAAAGACGAAGGCCTTCATTCTGCGCCGGCTGCAAAGGAAAGCCCAAAGCTTGCTGCTGCGTGAACACTTGGGCTTTTTCATGCATGCTACACCAGTTCTTCTCCGCTGACGGCTCGCAGACAGCAAGGAATCACAAGAACAAGTGCAAATAACAAACTACAGTCACGTAGAGCTATGTTAGCATAACAAACAGAAGTATGAACTTTCAAAGGGGAAGAGCAAACACTTCTCATATCTTTTGTTGTACTGTATTCAGGGCAGAAATTCTTGCTATTTGAGTAGCATCTAGTCAAACTAGACGTCAGCATGCCCTCATACTCACAAACCATCAACAAAGATGACAAAATACAGCCCAGATGACATTAAATACAGGTTCGTTTGGAACGAGGGATAGTTTGTTGACCACAGTATGTCTTGTGCGGAGAACATTAAACTACTGACCATTATCAACTATTGAAACCAAACCTGTCAATTTTATTATTAAGACTGTTATGTTGATCATTTAGCATATTGTTGGGCCTGCGAAGTTTATGGTCATATTAATGTATTTAATTTTGTATGATAAATAATTGTGGTACTGTCCAATTACAGAACTAGATGAGACCCACTTTATATTGTCTTTAACTACTATGTACTTAAATTAATCATTTGATACAATGCACTTAATTGTGTACATACAAGTTTTTATATCGTACTTACATTTAAAAATTACCTTTCTGTAGATACATCTTTAATTACACTGCAGACCCTTAACTCTAACCATACTTAATCATGGCCCTAACCCCTCAATAGCAGCTAAAGTGATTTGCAATACAATGAACGCAAGTACATTGTACCAAACTATTAATTACTTTAGATGTAAGTACACAGTAGTTAAAACACCTAATATAAAGTGGAACCAACTGTACTTATGAGGACTGATTCTTTTACATGTCGAAAATAAACCTTGTCAGATAATCATGGTGGATCAGTGCGTTATTAAAAATTAAGTGGCTTGAGAACAGAAAGAAAAACTAAATGACTCTACAACTTTAAAAGCACCTACCACTATGGACTGACATACACTATATGGACAAAAGTATTAGGACACCCCTTCTGAAGAGCAGGTTTGACTACTTTAGTAGTATTTCCAGGAGTACAAATCTTAATGTTTAAGCATATAATTTATTCTAGGGAATTGTGTGCTTCTAATTTTATAGCAACAGTTCGGACAAGACCATTTTCTATTCTAACATGACAATGCCTCTGTGTATAAGGCAAGGTTCAAAAAGAAATGATTGATTGAGTCAGTGTGGAAGAACTTGCCTGGTCTGGCTTTGACTTTAAATGCAGACCTCAAGCCAAAAACTCATCACCAAACACAAGTGACTTGTATATATGGCTACAGTCATTTTAGACACTTCCAAAACTGTTGTAACAGAGATGGAAATACAAATTTTAAATACATGAAATACATGTTTCCATCTTTGTTGCCAGTTTTAAAAGTGCCCTTTTCTTTTCTAAAGAAGGGGTGTCCCAATACGTTTATCAATATAGCGTATATAGTCAATAGATCAACTCTTTTTGTTTCCATGTATACATGGTATAATTGTTTTTTTATACTGAGCTAATCATATGTTTGATCCCCTAAACATCCCTCATAGCAGTTTTATCATTTCAATAACCATGCAAGTAAGGATGAGACCAACACAGAGTAACAAAATGCAAGCTGTATTAAATGTGTTGCTATTGATTAACATACAGACCGCTGGTGGCAGTGGTTGATCAAAGAGCCACACACAACATTATTGACAAATTTCAGATTTACAAGGTAAACAGGACCAAAACAGTTTCTAATTATACACAGCACTACATAACATCAGAATTGATAATGATTCACTTTCAGCTGGATAGAAAAAGTCCAATGGAATATTAAAAATTACGAGTCTATCCAACACTCAAAAAGTAAAAAAAAAAAAACTCCAAAGGCAACAGAAATGTGCTGAACAGCTTCATAAAGACACATGCTTTAGAGGTATTTCATCATCTACTGCAACTATAAAATGAGCTTAACATACACAGTTCTGTTAAGTAATAAACATCGCACTAGGGACCTTTAAGATAGTGGGGTGTGTAGTGTTTTCCGGATCATCAAACATCCCACTACTCCTTGACAAGCAACGATCATTCAGCATTCACCTTCAACTAGAGATCAACTACCACGTACAACTAACAATTGGGCACTGGTTTGCAGCAGGTTAGCCATTGACCTTATCCTGAGTTCAGACAACATGACACAAGGGTCTGTACATTAATCCTCTTTTTGAAGGATCACCGTGGGTCGCATTTCATGAAGCTGCTTGAGAAGAATTTCATAGACACCCGAAAAAACCTTCTGCACCTCAAAGGTGACGTTGCTGAGCGAGGTCAACTTCTGGGGATTCTTAAATTCAACAAGTTGCAGGACTTCTCTCGAATGCAATTGGGCATCAGATCTTTTGCACACGACCGTCGCAGTCTTCAGGTGGAAAGCAGTCATTTTTTTGTGTGCATTTCCGTTCAAGGGTAGCGTAGCTTTCCTCTTCTGGGACGTGTTCGATTCCTGCAGAAACTGAAGAAAGGACACCTCAAATCCCATGGGCTTGAATGAACTCAGTGGTGTATTTTGACCAGAGGCATCTTCCTGTGCCATGGTAGTGCTGGAGGACGTGGAGTCAGAGTTCAAGTCCACGTAACTGACTGCAGAACTCCTTGTGGTTCTTAGTCTCGTCACCCTTTTAGGTCCTAAGGACTTGTCCGATACTCTCTCCCCCTTGCGTGGACGTCCTCTCCGTCTCTTAACTACCACAGATATCTCCGAGCACGTGTCTGTAGAAGGCTTTCTGTCGGACAGATCGGCATCCTCTGTGCTTTCTTTCTCCGAAGTAGGCTTGGAGAACTCGGACTCACTCTGGCCAGGCTCAGCGACTTCCTCATTCTCAGTCGTCTCGATGGAGCTCTCCGCTGAATGATCCGTGTCGTCGCTTCTGGAAGCGATGCGCTTGTATCTGGATCGGGGTAACTTTTTACAGTATATGAAGTTGCTCCTCTGTTCTTCCAGGTACTGTTTTGGGAGTCCATGCTGAAGATAATGTTTCATTATATTTCGCTCAGAACTGGTCACCGTTTCGCAACCCTTTATCATACAAGCGTACTGCAGTTGCAAGCGTTTGGTGCACATGGCAGAAGCTTCTTCCTGCGTTTTCAAAATGGGTTTCCCATATTTGGTCCAGTTATTTTTGTTAGCTTTTCTCTTTTTAACAGCTTCCTTCTTAACAGCTTCCTTCTTAACGGGTTTCTTGTTAGTTTCTCTGTTCTCTTTCTCGACAACGTCAGTTTCGTACTTCCTGGGACGACCGAGTTTAACCCCACTCTTGCCTTCCCGTGGGTTCATGAGCAGCCGTTTGTACACGTCTTGGTGTTTCTTCATGGTGTGTCGCAGTAGATTTGACCGTGTGCTGTACGCGCATTCACATCCTTCCATCGGGCATCTGAACATTCCTTCCACGGGGTCGACTTTTGAGAGCGTGGTTTCTTTATGCTCTTGATCGAAATGGCTGATATATTTCCAGAAAGCAGTGAAAGTCTCTGAGCAGTCCGGTTGATCGCACTGAAACCTGCCTAGGTTGATACTGCACATCATGGCACCTGCTTTCTCAAGGGTTAATTTGTGGAGCTGAAGGTAGTGCTGGAGCAAGTCTGGAACTGACTGAAAAATGCAAGAACAGTCTTTGACTTGACACCTGAACTCATCCACCTCTTTGACGTCCATGTCTAGCTTTTCGTCGCTCTCTTCACTTGTATCCTTGTCCTCGGCCTCCTCTTCGTTCTGTTCCTCTTGACTGTTGATCGCAAATTTAGGCAAAGCAGACTGGTGCACAGCTTTATAATGTAGGATCAAATTGTGTTGAATTGTAAAAGCTGCCACACAGCCCTGGTGAACACAACGGTAAGGTCTGTAAGGACTGAAAATGTCATCGCCCTCTGGTTTTTTCTCTTTGTTTTTTTTGGGAGATTCTCTCGGCTTTGCCACTCGAGGCTTGCTAGGAGGTTTGGGCTTTTTGTCCAAGGACTGATTTAGTGCTTGTACTGGTGCTGAAGGATTCTGGGTAAAAGGGGCTATGGGTAGAATCTCTTTTAATGGGGACACATGGGTCGGGCCAGAAATGGGGGGGAACTTTGTGGAAAAAAATCCTTTTGCATTCTGATCCATCCTTGGAGTCGCTGAAGAACGACCAGACACAATCACTGATGGCTGAAACGGCATCTGATTTTGCGGAGTTACTGTCGGAGTTCCCACTGCACGACTTTTGCCTTGAGACACAAAGGCCGATTGCTGGACAAGCGATGGAGTGATGCACTGCGATATTTTGACATTATCTTCTCTAGTGGCGCCCGATGCACATGCAACATTGTTCTGCTGTTGACGTGCATCCACAAGTGGAGTGTTTTTAACTGAATTGGGAATTTCTGGCACTGGACAAGGGCTTCCTCTGTCACGCTCTGGGAGCCTGCGATTGGACTGAGACTTAATTTTCATCTTCTTTATGTCTTCCTGTGAAAATTTGTGAACTGTCAAATAATGGGCTTTGAGGTTGGAGTTGCGTGTGAAAGCCTTGGAACATTTTTGACAGCTGAAAGGGGCAACATTAAACTGGACTTTCACTCGAGTAAGCATGTCATCGGTGTAATTGTGCAGCTTGACAAGGTGTTTAAAAAGAGCATCTTTTGTCATCGCACTGTAAGTGCAACCATTTGCGTCACATGCAAATGGTTTCACATAACTTTGTATCTCACTGGGTAAATCTTTGGACTCTGGCTTATTAAGCTGTTCACCATTCACCGCAGGACTATCCACAGTTCTGCTAACCTCACTGATTTCTCTGTCTAGGTCAAGCTTCTCAAGAGCTTTTTGGATTTCCAACACTTCATCCACATTGGTTATGGATGTATGGTTGGACTGATCATTGGCAGTACTTCCTGAAACCGCAGATGAAATGGCGTGAATTAAGCTATCATTTGAGCTCACCTCACCCAATTGCAATACTGACTCGACAGGGACTTCGGCTGTATTTCCCACAGGTTGATGCGCACTTTGAGGTTCATTCTGAATCAAGTTTGAGGTACATTGTGGATCCCCACTAACGGGACTTGCAACAGACATTTGTGAGCAGGAACTGTCGACACTCGATCCACGAGGCAAGCTGCTTTTTTTGTGTAGGTCTCCAGCCAATATCTGGTCACGTAGTCTTTCTTTGACACTCTTTTCAGACACCAGGTTTTGAGCAAGACTTTCCATGGCTGCCAGAAGTCCATCATTTGATAGGTCACTTGCATTGCTGTTGGTTGTTTTTTCCTTGATATCTTTCATTTTGTTTAAAGTTTCAGCTTGAAGAATTT